GCATAATCTCTGTTGCTCTCCTCATCTCTAACCTGAATCTAATCAACCCTCCTGAACAAACTACTAATTTACAGGAAGTACAAAGAACAGAGGAATATGTTAAATAATTTCATGAGGCTATAGTTAGCAAAATCCAAAATATGAGAAAAAACCTGTTCCTTCAATAAATAAATTTCAGAAGAGGGGCACCTGGGTGGCTAAGTCAGTTAAGCATCTGACTTTGGCTCACGTCATGATCCCAGGGTCCTGGGATCAAGCCCCTGGACAAGATGGGCTCCCTACTCAGTGGAGACCCTACTTCTCCCTCTCCTTCTGTCTGCCACTCCCCCTGAATGTGTGCACTCTGTGTCAAATAAATAAATAAAATATTTAAAATATAAAAAATACATCACAAGAGAGAAAAAAAAGAGATGAAAGGGGAAATCAAAGTTCAAAAAAGCTAAGAGACAAATCAATCATAAAGTGGGACTTTATTTGGATCCTGATCCAAACACACTGTAAAGAAAATATATGAAATAATTGTAAATTTGGAGATAGCAAGATATTTTATAACATTAAAGAATAATTGTGGGATGCCTGGGTAGTTCAGTGGTTGAGTATCTGCCTTCGGCTCAGGGCATGGTCCCAGAGTCCCAGGATCAAGTCCCACATTGGGCTCCCCTCAAGAAGCCTGCTTCTCCCTCTGCCTGTGTCTCTGCCTCTCTCTGTGTCTCTCATGAATAAATAAATAAAAAATCTTAAAAAAAAAAAGAATTGTGCGGGTGGTTGGTGTGATGATGGTGTTGTGCTTATGCTTTTTTTAAAGAGATCTTATCTTTTACAGATATATACTGAATATTTATGGATGAAATTATGTGTCTGGGGATTTGCTTCAAAATAAGATGGAAGAGGGAAAAATGGGTGAGGGTGTATGTGAAACAAGATTGGCTATGAGTTAATAAACTATATTTGGTGATGGATACAGGAAGGCTCATTATACTATTTTCCTGATTTCTGCATATGATTAAAATTTTCCACAACAGAAAATTTTTCTAAAAATCTACTTCATGACTTTGTAGTAATGCATAAGATAATTAGAGGTGCTTTTAACCACTAACAGATAACCTTCAAACATTGTTTTTAACTTTTATACTCCCTTTCAATTAATCACACCTAAGAGTATATTACTTAGACCAAGAGCCATGGCCCACATGACTTTGTTCACCTGGTAGTAATTTACTGAAATTTCACATTTAGAATTAGGAAATGTCAACCTTCAGAGTTCCATATCTGCCCAGCAACAGCAGGGTAACAATTCCAAATGTTTCCCTACCACTACTAATAATTATAATTGCTTTCCTCTCACCCTTGGAGAAATACTTGCAATCATTAATTTATTCATTGTTTTTCATTCATTTATCATGTGTCAAGTATTAGGTGCAAGGATACAAATATTAATACAGTAGACCCTTGCGGTACCTGGCTGGATCAGTCAATAGTGCGTGTGATTCTTGATCTAGGGTTTGTGAGTTCAAGCCCTACGTGGGGTGGAGAGATTATTTTAAAAACAATACAGTAGGGCAGCCCCAGTGGCTTAGCGGTTTAGTGCCACCTTCAACCCAGGGCGTGATCCTGGAGACCCGGAATCGAGTCCCACATCAGCCTCCTTGCATGGAGCCTGCTTCTCCCTCTGCCTGTGTCTCTGCTTCTCTCTCCTTCTGTATCTCTCATGAATAAATAAATAAAACCTGTAAAACAAACAAACAAAAAACAATACAGTAAACCCTTGACTGCTTGAATGCTAGATGAATATTTCTAAGTGCCCAATGCATTCAAGAAACAGTGCTAAGCATCTGTTACAAATACACAATCTAACTCTCTTCTAAAAGCCAGCTCTATTGATCATATAGAAATGAATGGAGATATGGTACTTACCCTTGTATAGTTTAAAAACTGATAGAGCCCGTGAGACAAGAACCCCAGTAACCTAGAACAAAAAGCTGAATGTGGTAAGTGGTCTCAAAATGATTCAGTCACCAAAGTGAAAAAAGTATGTTTGGGGAGTGGTAAGTACTCAGGTTTGGCTGAAGCATTAAGGATTTGTTTGGGTAGAGGCTGGAATGGTACACTAGGCCATATGTGGAGTTAGGTTAAGGAATGTGAATTTTATTAGGCAGCAACAGAAAGTTGCTTAATGTTACCAAGCAGAGCATGACATGCATAGAGTTGTGACTTGGGACAACACCTCTTATAGCAAGTGGCAGAGTCCATAGACCACTCATGGAAGACCAATTCAAGCCCAGACTACATCTCCAAGCTCATACACTCCTACATACATGTAAACACGCTTAATGAATAATAGTTTACAGCACCTGAGATGGACTTGAAGACTTTGGAGACTCAGCTCCAGAGTACAGCCTTACCTTCTCCACACTTACAGACCAGCACATACAGACCAGCCCTGAACCACCTCCGAGAAAACTTCCTGTCACAGCTTACAGCAGAGCTTAGCAAACTGTGATTTTTTTTTCCATTTAAAAGGGTCAGATAGTAAATGTCACAGGCTTTGCAGCCTACATGGTCTCTGTTGCAATGACTCAACTCACTAACACAACCATTGACAACATGTAAATAAAAGAGCTGAGTTGTGTTCTAATAATATAGAACTTGGCCCATGCCATAGTTGGTCAACTCCTACCCTAGAGTTTGGAGCCTCTTCCAGAGCTCAAGTGACCATCCAGATACAGACTAGCTCCAGCTCCTTCCAGAAAACTAGCCTCATCTGACAGATTAAGAAAGCTCCTTCAGAAGTACAATCCCTCTAGGTCTGAGGGTCCATCTACCACCTGAAGGACTGGGGGAACTAATTCTCTGCCTAACCATGTGACAGCTAAACCCAATTGGGCCCACACAGCTGTTATCCTTGCTTGCCACCCAAGATGCAAGCCATTCCAAACATCTGCTTACTCTTCCACATCCTCTTTACCTTTGCTCTGTCTCCTCTCCCTAGAAGAGATGCTCACCTCCTACTCAGCTCACATGTCAGTGTCCCCTCCTCAGAGAGGGTTCTCCTGGTCCCCCAACCTAGAGAAGCTCCCCCAGGCACTCTCTATTACATCCCATTTCCCATTCTTCATAGCACCGCCTACAATCTGAAATTATTTATTTATTGTAGGTTTCCTCCCACAAAAATGTAAGTTCCATGAGATTGGGAAACTTGCTCATTACTGTATTTCTGGCCTAGAGTAGGTCCTCATTCCCTATTCATTAAATAAAAGGAATAAATGAATGAGTTGCCATATTTGCTCTGTGCTTCCTCCCCTGAGCTACCCCTCTGCCTCTGCCCCTTCCAACTTCTCCCCAGGGCCTTTGGAAAAACCTCCATACTACAAAAACTTTTCCCTATCCTCAACTCTCCATTGATTGTCCTTTTCTTCTCGCTTCCTTGGTACAGACCTGACAACATGATTTCTCCTGTGTACTCTCCAGTGGAGGCTGCTTGTCTTCTGTGCCACACAACTCACAGTCAGGGACCACACACCTTGTTTAAACACTTTCTCCCTGTCCCCAGCCCCACTGCCACCCACTCCCACATTGGACAAGACTCAACCAGTTGAGCCTCAATGTCACTGCTCTAGGAAACCTCCTTTGGTCCTTTGGCCCATACAGCAATTGTCCAGGTTATATATCCTACCTCACTCAATGTCCTCACTTCTGAGAGCATTTTTCACACTGTATTGCAACGATCAGCTTAAGTTATCTGTCTCATCCTTCATCCCCAGCCCCCCTAGGCCATGAGCTCTGTGGGGGAAGAAATTTATCACAGTGCCTGCCCATAATGGGCTGTCCATAAATATGTATTAAATGAAAGAAGTCATAAGCTATTCCAACAGCAAGAGAGACTAAACATGGTGAGACCCAACATGAAGCCTCTGTCACAGAATCAGTGAGAGGTCATAAGAGTCTAGACTGGGGGAGTATGGCAGAAACAAAATGCAGAGCTAGACGTGATGCCCCATACTTGTCAACAACATGTAATCTTTCCCACCAAATTTTTCCTACTCTCTTCCGTTTACCTCATTAGCTGCCACCAGCAATCACCCCCACCCTTCAAGCCAGAACTGGGAGACCTCTGCTCTCATCGCACTCCATCAGATCAGAGAACAAGCCTCATGTCCAACCCTCTTTCCCACCCCCACTGCTTCCATCTTTATTCAGATCACCATCATCTAGCACCCTGCCTGTTCCAAAAATCTTAATGAGGCATCCATTCTCAGGCCTGCCCTTCTTAGATCCCTATAGTCTCTCTCCTCCACATAACTAGGAGAGCAAACTTCTAGTGCAAATCTGAGTGTGTTGCTCTCCGAATTAAACCCCTATGATGGCTTCCCATTTCCTTCATGGCTCTAGTCCAGGCTCTTCAGCATGGCAGCCAAGAATAGTACTCCATGATCCATCAGCTTCCCAAGGCTCTTGCCCTGCCCCCTCCCTAGCATCTTTTGCCTGTAGTGAGTGTTATGCTCATCCTGGTTTCCCTGCCTGGGATGTCTTTCCTGACTGTGTGCACTGTAAAAAAAAACAAAAACCAAAAAACCATCATCTTTCATTTTGACAGGAAGTAGGATTTATTGGTGGGCATGAATAGGCAGGGGGCAGTGCCAAGGTTCTCACGAGTGCGGAGCCTGCCATTTGTCCAAGGGACGGTGATTAGGGATGTATTTGACCCCACAGCCATCTGGGATGAGCCACTTTTTAACCACCATGTCTTCAAATTTGTCTGCATTAAACTTAGTAAAACTCCACTTCTTGGGAATGTGGATTTTCTAGCAGCCAAGGAACTTGAACTTGGCCCTGCACAGGACCTCAATCACATGCTTCTTGTTCTGCAGCTTGGTATGGATGTACACAAAGACTTGGCCAATATGGACCCGACCCTGACCACTGTGCCCTGGGGCTTTCCAAAGGAACCCCACATGCCTGTCTGCAGCCTAGATTAGTGATAATCAGTGTCCACTGGAAAGGGCTGTCTGGAAGGTCTCTCAGGGCAACCCATTTATAGGCTGCATACACTACCAAGGAGGCTACTGTTGGCAGCCATTGCACACTGGGCCCCCATGGGGAAAGAGCACAGTCGGCTTAATTGGCTGCAGACCCATCATCTTTCAAGACCCAGTTCAAGTATCTCCCCTTATGGGGTGCCTTCTAATGCTCCTATTCTCCCCACCCCTCCTTGAGACACTGCCATCCACAGAGGAGCCTTCTGCCTTAGCACCTTACCCTCTGTTTGGCATTGTATGTGTTTCCACAGCTGTCTCACTCATTTAAACCATGGGCTCCTCCAGAGCAGGGATCATATCTTTCTCAGCTTTGCATCCCCAGTGCCCAGCACTGAGCCTGGCACTCAGTAAACATCGAAAACAAGCTGGAATCCTAGGAAACTCTGAGGTTACATCTAGGTGGTGGGAGAATGATCTGCTGCCCTCTCCTGGCAATGTAAGGCATTGTCCTAACCACAGACACCAGCTCCACCTTGCAAAAAGAAAAAAAAAGTGGACCCAGACGCTGCAAAAGAAGAGAATGGAGAAGGAATTGGATTGAGGTGTTGATGGGACACCTTTGTCAGCTCCCATAGTTCTCATGTCCATGAAAGCTAGGGTGCGGAAGCCAGGTCAGGCCTTTCAAAGGAAGGCATATCCTTAGAGTGGGTCTGTCCCCCACACTATAGTCTCTAAATTATACTGTGTTTGTTTCCCATTCTGTCTTGTGCTCCTTGTTGTTGTTACTATTCCTGCTGCTTTCTCTTTTTTTAAGATTTTATTTATTTATTCATAAGAGGCACACAGAGAGAGGCAGAGACACAGGCAGAGGGAGAAGCAGGCTCCTTGTGGGCAGCCTGATGCAGGACTGAATCCCAGGCCCCCAATCACCACCTGAGATGAAGGCAGATGCTCAAACACTGAGCCACCCAGGCATCCCACTCCTGCTGTTTTCATTCATTTTAGTAGGTGATCACTAATTTTTTCCTCCGTTGTTACAAAATGTGTATTGTTTTTCTTGTGCCCGGAAAGACTGAATTTGATCACTAGTTTCTCTTGATTTTAACTCAGCTTCCCACTGGTAGGAGGTTGTCTCTAGCATTCTAGGTGTCTCAGCTTTCTGCCAAAATCCAACTACCGGTTAGGATCCCCCACACCTCACTCCTCCTCACAGCTTCAACAAACTTATTAAACTATGCACTTAAAATTGGTGAATTCAAGCGCAGGTAAATTGTACCTCAATATAACTAGGGGCACCTAGGTGGCTCAGTTGGTTAAGTGTCTGCCTTCGGCTCAGGTCATGATCTCAGGGTCCTGGGATAGAGCCCCACGTTGGGCTCCCTACTCAGCAGGGAGTCTGCTTTTCCCTCTGTCTTTGCTCCCCCCCCTGCTCATGCTCTCTTTCTCTCTAATAAATAAATAAAATATTTTTAAAAAATAGAACTGATTTTAAAAATCAATTGCATGGGAAAAATCAGTTGCATGAGAGAAAGAAAAATTGGAGAATAGAAATGGAGAAAACATAAATGTTTTCAAGCAACAGCTAAATGAACCAAGGAAAGGCACACCATGGAGAAGGGCATGGTGATGGGGTTAGAAGAACCCACCAACAAGGAAGAGTGAGTTTGTTTGCCTCTATATTCAGAGAGGGAGGGTGACAAACATTAGAAAAGCACCTCTGTTTCATGAGTAAGAAACACAAAGGAAGAAAGAAAGAAATAGAAAGCTAAGAACTGAGCAGAGAAGCAAAGAAAAGAAGGCAAGTGTGTGTAAAAGACTGACAGAAGTCCAGGAGAAGATAAGACATCTCTCTACAGAAATTTTGAAAGCATTATCTGCAAGTAGAGATGAAGCTCCAGCCATTCTTTCAAACCTCTCAAATACCTGCAATCTGAGATGGGACTAGATGGGACAGGAAGCAGATTAGCAGTTGCCAGGGGCTGGGGGCTGGGGAGCGCTGGGAAGTGATAGCTGAAGGTTACAGGGAGTCTTTATTGGGGGGGATGAAAATGTTCAAAAATTGGTTATGCTGATGGTTGCACAACGCTGTGAATATACTAAAAGCCCCTGAATTTGCACACTTTAAATGGTGAATTATATGCTGTCTGAATTCTATCTCAATAGCTGTTACCAACAGACATCAATTGCATGTTTGTACAACAACGTGAATGTATTTAGCACCCCCACACCTTATACCAAAATATAGTTAAAATGGTAAATTTTGTTACGTATTTTTTACAATAATTAAAACTAAATATCAATTGCATTCCGTATACTGACAACAAACGATTAGAAAGTAAACTTTTTTTTTTAATTTATTTATTTATGATAGTCACAGAGAGAGAGAGGCAGAGACACAGGCAGAGGGAGAAGCAGGCTCCATGCACCGGGAGCCCGACGTGGGATTCGATCCCGGGTCTCCAGGATCGCGCCCTGAGCCAAAGGCAGGCGCCAAACCGCTGCGCCACCCAGGGATCCCTAGAAAGTAAACTTTTATTTTATTTTAAAGATTTTATTTATTTATTCATGAAAGAAGCGGGGAGGGAGAGAGGCAGAGACAGAAGCAGGCTCCATGCAGGAAGCCCGATGTAGGACTCCATCCCGGGTCTCCAGGATCACATCCTGGGCTGAAGGCAGCGCTAAACCACTGAGCCACCTGGGCTGTCCCAAAAGTAAACTTTTAAAAACAGCATCTGCAATAGCACCAAAACCAAAAAATGCTTAGGAATAAGTCTAATAAAAGAAGTATAAGACCTTGACACTGAAAATATGAAACACTAAACACTGCTGAAAAAAATTAAAGAATACAAAAAACAAAAGGAGGAATATATCATGTTCATGGATTGGACAAATCAGTATTTGAAGATGTCAGATCTCCCTAATTTGACTTATAAGTTAGTGGAATTGCAATCAAAACCTCAGCATTTTTAAAAGATATTAACAAGGTGATAATAAAATGTATATGAAAAAAAATCAAAGAATAGAAAAACCGGGGCAGCCCGGGTGGCTCAGTGGACCTGGGATCGAGTCCCACATCAGGCTCCCTACACGGAGCCTGCTTCTTCCTCTGCCTGTGTCTCTCCCTCTCTCTCAATCTCTGTGTCTCTCATGAATAAATAAATAAAATCATAAATAAAATCATAAATAAATAAATAAATAAATAAATAAATAATAAATGCAAGATTAGCACTGTATACCTACTAGAATGGTCAAAATTGAGAACATTGGCAAAACCAAATGCTAGTTAGGATGTAGGGTAATAGGAGAGAGAGTTCCTGTTTGTCGCTGGCAGGAATGCAAAACACCCACTTTGCAATACACTTTGGCAGTTTCGTACAAAACTAAACATACTCTTATCATACAGTGATTTACCCAAAGGAGTGAGTTTAAAACTGATGTCCATACAAAAACGCGCACATGGATATTTCTAACAGTTTTATTCAGTTATTCAATAAATTGAATACTGTTATTTAATAACAGCGTCCTTGCCAAAACTTGTAAGTAGCCAAGACATCCTTCCACAATGAACAGATAAACAAACTGTGGTACATCCATACAATGCAAAATTATTCAGTACTAAAAAGAAATGAGCTATCAGCCATGAAAAGACATGGAGGAAACTTAAATGCATATTACTGAGTGAAAGAAGCCAGTCTGAAAAGTCTACATACTATATGTTTCCAACCGTATGACATTCTGGAAAAGGCAAAACTACAATAAAAAGATCTGTGGTTGCCAGGGGTTATCAGGGGAGAGAACACAGGCAGAACACAGAGGATTCTTATGACAGTAAAACTACCCTGTGGGTCACTATTATGGTAGGTACACGTCATTACAAATTTGTCTAAACCCGTAGAATGTACAAGCCCAAGAGTGAACCCTAATGTAAACTATGAACTTTGATTGATAGTGACGTGTTGCTATAGGTTCATTGATTGTAACAAACGTACTCCTCTGCCGAGGGGTGTTGATAATGGAGAGAGCCTATGATAATGGGTGTCAGGTACAGGATCTGTGCGAAATCTCTGTGCCTCCTGCTCAATTTTGCTTTGACCCCAAAACCACTCTAAAAACTAAAGTCTATTAAAGAAAATCACTAACCATAAAAAGTAATTAGTAAACTGAACTTCATTAAAATTAAAATATCCACCAAAACATACCATTATGTGAGTGAAAAGGCATGCAACAGACCAAAAGAGGACTGTGGTATTATCAAAGCAAATCTTACCTAAAATATAGAAAGAAACTCCAAAATTAATAACAAAAGGATAGACAATGTAGTCTTTTAGAATGGGCCAAAGTTATGAACAGGTACTTCACAAAGATTTGAATGAGTATCCAGATGGCCAAAACGTATACGAAAAGGTGTTTGACTTCATTAATTATCAAGGAAATACAAATTGCATAGCACTACATCCTCCAGATAAGCTAAATTTAAAAGGACTGGCGATACCACGTTTTGGCAAGAATGTGCAGGAACTGGAACTCTCAGACACTCTTGGTGGGAGTGTAAACTTGATACCGTGACTTCAGAAAATTGGCAACATCTACCAAAGCTAAATATAAGAAAAACCCATGACCCAGCAATTCCATTTCTTAGGTAGATACCAAACTGAAATGAGCACTTGTATGTCTAAAAGCAATGTATAAGAATATTCATAGAAGTTGTGTAGATAATAGCTCAAACCTGGAAACAACTCCTATATCATCAGCAATGGGATGGATAAGAAAGTTGTCATATGGGGATCCCTGGGTGGCTCAGTGGTTTGGCGCCTGCCTTTGGCTCAGGGCGTGATCCCGGAGTCCTGGGATCGAGTCCCACATTGGGTTTCCTGCATGGAGCCTGCTTCTCCCTCTGCCTGTGTCTCTGCCTTTCTCTCTCTCTCTGTGTCTCTCATGAATAAACAATAAAATAAAATCTTTAAAAAAAAAGTTGTCATATAGTTATATGATCAAATGTTATATAACAATGAAATGTAATGAGCTATTCCTACACACAATAAGATGGGCAAATTACACATACATAATGTAGAATAAAGGAAGCCAGTCCATAAAAGATGCATACTGTATGATTCCTTTTGAATGATGTTCAAACACAGAGGGAACTAATCTAC